CACGCCCTCCCTTGGGAGCAGAGAGGGGAAAATGAGGGTAAAACGTGATGGGGACAATCAGAGCAGCTATAACGCAGATGCCACAGAGCAGGGTCCACACCTGCAGCATCACGAAGTAGGAAGGTACCAGTTAGACCTGATGGGATCACATAGCACCCTACGCAGCTGGGCTGCTGCATATGGGAGGGCAGCAAGGGCTGTTGTACACCTGCCAGGGCAATGGGGAACATAGAGGTGCCACACAGCATTCCCTGTACCTGCGGCTGTGTCCTATCCAGGCAAAACTGCTATATCAGACTTATTAGAGCCAGCCTACAGCAGGCAGTACCAGCAGCACAAGACCAGCTCCAAAGCCCATTCAATGCTGGGCATGGAACTCCATAAGGTGAACACAAGCCACCCTGCATGTGTGCCCTGGGTGAGGCGTGTCACACATACACCCCATCCATGGATTAGACTGAGACTGTGAAATGAAGACCCACCAAGGCAGAAGGAAATCACCTCCTCGTGCAAGAAGGGGCATTTTGAAGAAAGGGAATTTGTCCATGGCATGTTTGTTACAGTGAGATACAGGTACAGAGGGAAAGCACCAGCTTCACCTCAGCTTTAGGGGCCAGCTGGTCACCTGCAGCACCTTCATCACCACCAGGCGGTAGCCCCATAGGGCCATAAGGAGGGACATGGCCCCTCAATGCCCACTGGTTAGGAAGCAGGGCAGGAGAGCTCTGCCAGGCACAGCTGCATCCTTTGCATTGTCTGTTTAAAAAGGGAGATCTTTAACCTCTACACGATGAATAATGGAGGAAAAAACCCAGCAGAGCTAAGCTAATTGCAGGGAGAGAGGCCAGAGGCAGCTCTGGGGGATCACTGGAGGGGGCTCTGCTTATGTAGGCACAACCAGAACAGTCAAGTGGTATGTGACAGCTACCAGCAGAGCTCCTCTGCTCTGGCTGTGTGGGAAGGGTTCCCTGGGTCTAATCCCATCCCTCAGCTTCAGAGAGCGGATATCTGTGGCTGGTGGGAACAGGCAGATCCTGTCCTGACCTTGTCCAGTTGGCTGAGAGCCTTTTCCTGACCCAGACACATGTGGTGCCTTTGCTCCCGCTGCTATTTGAGCTGGATCCCCGGCTCCGGCAACTGACGTGCGTCAGCCCCAGCGGTTTCTCAATCGTGACAAACTTGGTGAGAGTTCACAGCCCAAGTGTCATCTGCTGACTGAGTCACAGCCTCCAACTCCTTCCCCTTGTGACCAGCATTGGGTTCATGGAAGGGGCCTGTGCTCACTGCTTTTTCCTGCTCATGTTTGATGAAATAAAGGACAGAGACCCTTCATGAACCAGAATAATTTTCCCCAAATCAAAATAACTCATCCCTGACCCTCATCTGGAGCATTCCCAGCACCAACCACCAGCAGACATTGCTGTAATACAGCAGCTCAGAGCCCTGCCGAGGGCCACACAGGGATCCTACCACTGCTGGCTGTGACAGAGAGCACTTCTAAGCCACCTGCTGTGCCTCCTGCCATGTCCCTGGGGCTCCTGGATTTGGGGTGACCATATTCATATTTCAGGGCTCAGCTCCTGTCTGCAGCCAACTGCCAAGAGATGGTGAACCTGCAGTGCTGTGTCCTGATCCTCATCGCTCACCTGAAGAGGATGTGTCAGTGCAGGCCTGAAGGTGTAAGTGCTCCTGAGCAGTAACCAGAGTGACGGTCCATCGCTTACCAGTAGAGAAGCAGCAGAGGGCGACAAACAGGTTGCATGAGAATCCCAGATCATCCCAAAACACGAGGAAAGGGACCACAAACCTCCTCCCCTCGAGACCTCAACAGATTTTCTTCAAACCATAAACTGCCAAGGAAACTACTTCAAAACCCCACAGGCTTATGCTGGCTGCACAGGGGCACAGTGGACTTTCTTCACATTTCTCTCCTTCCAGACTGCATTGATTTGCTGGATGAAAACAGGCACCCTGATGAAACTGAGCGAAGTGGGAAATCATGCGTATGAATTCACCTACAGGAAAACGAGCACTACAGCCTCAGTCATCCAGCAAGACAGCACAGCTCAGCCTCTGCCTTGGGAGTGTTGGTGTCACACACCACAGAAACCCTGTCACCTCCTAGAAACAATGACACAGCTTTGGAAAGGGGCTTTATTCAGCAGTAACTTGGACATGGCACAGTAGCTCTGAGGCACCCAAAGCTAGCTTGGATTGAGACCTAAACCTTGTGTTTGTCTGAGATGGCTGCACTGTGGCAGAAGGAACCTTTCCCAGACAGAGCTCAGTTTTCAGCCAGGAGAGGGATGAATCCATTTCCCCCATTCTGCTGGAAGAAGGAGAAAGCTCTGAAGGAAACCAAAGCCAGAGGAACATGCACCTGCATCACTGGATGAGCCTACCTCCAACATCAACACCACGCTGGCAGTGGCCTTCCAGAGACCAGTCACCAGGAAAAGCTGCTCAGGAGCTCCAGCAGCAGCATTACCAGTGACGATGGGCCAGAAAACAGCACACACCTGCTGCAGGTGCTCCCGATAACTCTCCTCCACAGCTTTCCCACCCACAGCACCATCAGTCCCCAGCATTCATTTCTCAAAGGAAGCTGGTTACAACAACTTCTTCACACTGGTTCCTCCTGCTCAGGACACTGGGGCTTCTCAGCGCACAGAGCACTTCAGCTTTGAGTCTCTGGCACCTCTTCTTCCCTTGGCTGTCTCAGGAGAGCACCAGAAATCCCAGATAAGGGCAGGGACAGCTCAGGACATTCTCCACCACCAAGAATTTAGGTCTTGACATTTGTAAGGGGCAGGGCTCACAACATCAGCCTCCAGTATATGCTGCCAGCTTTTGCCATGTAGACCTGGATTTCCCCACAGATCCAGGCAAGAGGCTGAGAACTTGCCCATATTTAGCAGCTAGAGGTCAGCAATTAACAGATTAATCCTGCCATGAAGATTCATCAGTTAAGCACCTGAAAGTGGACTCAAAATCCTTTCACACCACAAGTAACAGACTGCCCTGCTGGAGGCCAGCCTGCAAACAGCACACAGACTGTTCTGTTACGCTGATAGAAAAGCAGCTCCAAGCTTCATCTGATCCTGGTTGACCTCAAGAACATTGCATAACCCGGTAAGGCTTAAGCCAACTGTATCCTGTCACACAGCCAAGACAGGTATTTTCTTAGTTCCAGGGTCAGAACAGCTCTTCAGGAAGAGGGGACTGGTGGAAAAAGATTTTGTTACTGAAGACACTGTAGGGCACATCCATCTCCGATGACCTCTCTCCATTGGAGAGCAGCCAATCCAGCCTCTGCTCAGTCATGGATCCGCTTTTGCCAAGTTATGCAGGCACAGTCCTGAGCAGGAAATACACAGCTGTGCCTTGTCCTTGAATACTGATACTGATAACATTATGGTAGCTTGATTTTAGCTTGAGAATTGAATAAAGAATATGCACAAATGATAGGTCCAAATAAACTCATTTATTTCTCTGTAATAAATACAACGCTAGCTGAACTCCAAAGTCTCACAGGTCCAACCATTCCTTCTCTCTTCTACTAGTCTAGAAGTGAATTACCACTACAAGACTCCTGTCTGGTTCATCTGTTCCCTCCAGCTCACCCCCCGTTCATCCTCTCAGGCAGCGGGACTCTGCACCAGGCTCCTCTTCCTTGCAATGGGGCAGATCCTTCACAGGAGAGAAGAAACACCTATGGGGAGAAAGCACAAGTTCAGCATAAGGTGCATGTTCCAGCAGCTCTTACCTAAAGGTGACCAGATCAAGACACGACTCCTGACAACTACCTTTAACAGGGTCAGCAAGAATT